AGAAGTTGAACTGTACGCACATTGTAGATAAGAAGAGAAACTTAGTTTCGATGAATCTTTTGAGCTAACATTGTTAGGGGGACTTTCATTTCGTATAAGAGTGAATGAAAAAGAGATTCGTTGCTCGATCTCACCAGAAGAGGAGCTGAGACTTTTACAAGAATGACACCCAGCTCTGATGATGTCCATCATATGATGGACGAAAACTCAGCACGTTTTCACTTGAAACGGAGGAGGAAGTCTCGTAGACTGCGTCAACATGAATATCGTATAAAAGCAAAACGGCTGCAGTACAACTAGATTCCTCCATCTTCATCTGGTGAGATCGATCGGAATCTCTTCTTCATTCACTTTCATACGAAACGAAAGTCCCACTAACTATTCTATATGCTGTAGATACTCATAATGAAAAATATTTAGATATGTATAAACATAGATTTGTCTAATTTTAATTTTAAGAAAATAAATTGCAAGCAGGGCACAGATGAACAATCAGAAAAAAGGAGAAGACTTACATTACAGTGAGCCTGATCAAAGTAAGTAGAACCACAACATTTGTGGGTCGGCATACAAGAGATTAGAACAAAGGAAGTCATAGACTTGTCATTGTGGATAGAAGCACGATAGATGAGGCGTAGAATGGAGCTAGTTGACTGACCGTAGGTCCTGTTTTACCCAGACGTGGTTCATAAAGCAAAAGCTTGAGAATTAGAATTACTCGAGATTCAGAGCCTCGAATTATTCTTCTATCCAGATTTTGTTGGGGGACTTTCATCTCGTATGAAAGTGCATGAAGAAGAGTCGTGGATCGATCTCACCAGAAGAGGACGGATGACTCCCGGTGTACTGCAGAGGTTCGAATTTGCTTCGACGTTCAGGTTGACGCAGTCGACGAGACCTCCTCCCTCGTTTCGGGTGAAAACGGGCTGAGCTTTCGTCCATCAACCGTTGGACATCATCAGAGCTGGGTCTCATTCCAGGAAAAGTCTCACGTTGACACTAGGCCAAGAAGACTATCCGGCTCTATCTTATCTCTTTTATAGACTCAATTAAACAAAAGAAAATTAAAAACCTACAGAGATCTATATAGAGTGGTTTGGCTAATTATCCTTCATACTGCTACCTTTGCCCGAGTGTGTGTATGTGGGTGTATCCTAGCGTCTATACGCAATAAATGTCCTAAATCAGCGTTCAAAAGACGAATTTCAGGCTCTGATCATCAAGACCTAATGACCCAATAGAAAGCCCAGACCGAGACTGCATAAGTCGGTAAGCAAGTATGTTTGAGATAATGAGATATGAGCTTGTAAGAGTGAAAATGAAGTTTCGAAACAGTTCCTCACATTCAACGTATTTTCTAAGCTATTAATTTCAATAGCCTCTCTTATTTTTATTTTAACCACAGATCTACCATGATGAGCAAACCTAATAGTTTTGAAAACATTCTATTCCATGTCCAGTTTTAACATATTTTCGGCCATTTCCAGTTTCCTTAACAAGCACTTTTGTGTTCTCCCTATCTTTTTCGAATAGGTCGGCATGTCTCACCAACATAACATTGACCACATGAACAAATAACTTTGTAGCAGCCGGATCTTGATGATGGGTCATATTTCTCAAACTAGTAGGTTTGCTGATTATGGTACATCAGTGGTTAAAAGAAAAATTATTAGCTAAGAAAATGTGCTGAGTTTGAGGAGCGGTTGTAGAAAGTTGAGTAGACACTACTTATGATTGATTGGTAGATTGAAAGAGAGGTGTTGAGCAGCTGTCAAAAAGAAGGCGACTCAATTTGTCTGCTTGGTGATGGTTCTAACTTCACTCA